GTATTTTCTTTACCTTCTCCCCTAGAAAAGAGTTGATCGGAGAAGCTATGCTAATTTGCATCCTCTTCAGCCATAAATCAGTGAGGACCAGATAATTAATGTACATTGCTTAAAATAGAAACGCTCCTTCTTCTCCAGGAAAAATGCTCAGCAGAGAAGTTCCCTGGGTATATACATAGCTCTTCCCCCAGACCTTATCCACTCATGGGGATCTGAAAGGAAGGCTAGGGGTGGGGGTGTGAAATGAGAGATGATTGAGTTAGTGGGGTTGGCCTAGTGATCTCAGAATCTGCGGGAAAGAGATCTCTTTAGCTTCATGACACAACCCAAAGAGGAAGCAGGAGTCCTAGCTGTCTGCATGGCGGGGAACCAGGGAGGAAGCAGTCTAGAAGGACCTCTAAATTCTGATGAGTCTTTTAGCTTATAACACACACACACACACACACACACACACACACACACACACACACACACACGCACATATACACACACACATATAATATACATACACAGACGCAGACTTATGTGCACAAGCACACACAGGTTTATCTGCCCATGCATACATACATACACACACTCATATGCACACACACACACACACACACACACACACACACACACACACACACACCCTTTTGAGGCATGCTGACTTTCAGTGGCATTCTGGCTCTAATACTTTGGGGAAACTTCAGCTCTCTGAGCACTATTATTGTCATTGGTGAATCGAATGTGTTAAGAGCTTTAAAAGGGTGCCACATACATTTAATGAAGTTGTGAGCACCCAGTATTGATGTCAAGGTGGTACATCATCAGTGTGAACAATTGTTACCTCACAAATAAGCCCTGTGGCTTATAGTGTTTGCCAATTTCCCTGGTGTAAATACTCTTGACCTTGAACAATATCAAGCTATCAGCATCTCAGTAAATGCAGGGCTGGAAAGGGATTCAGGGTACTATAATATAGCATTTCCACCATCCAGACACAGTCAAAGCAGATAGCCTCAAAATCAGATATAACATTCAGACCACATTTGGGGGGCCAGTGTTAACTGCCTTTTTATTCTGAGTATGTGTTGCCTTTGTTTTGAAATTGCTTCATTGCCAGCTCATTTAATTTAACTTTTCATGATGTTGTGTTTAACAACCACCTCACAGAACTTCTAAAATATTTAATGATTCACTTTCACAGTCAGAATAATCCAGCTCAGGCACACACTTAGGCAGTCAATAAACACAACTTCCCTTCCTTCTTCCTTTCTTCAGCTCTGGGGAATTTTCCTGAAGGTTTTTCCTTCAGGCTCCCTTCTTTGCCTTTGTTCAGGACCCCTCTGGGCCACCATACCGGGTCTGAGTCTGTGCTAAACCCCAGCAAAGATTACAGCCCTCCTCATACCACATAACTGGCCTCCCCCCACCCCCAAGCTGTGGATGCTCCGGAGCCACCAACCCCAGAGATGGAGATGTCTGTGCCTGGTTAGGGAAGGCATCGATGGGTCCACAGAGCCCTCAGTGGTGAGAGTGGAGACTTAGTTTATTTTAGAATCTCAGTCAGGGAAGGGAGTGGGAAAGTGGGACCAACAGACTGTACTTTGGCAAGCCAGGGGCTATAATTAGCCTCCACTTGAGGGTGGAATAAACCCTTGATTGTTACTAAACAACAGCAAAAAGCAGGAAGGCCTCCAGACTCCTGCAGCCCTGGGCCAGCACAGCTTCCAAAGATAGAGATTTGGACACAGCCACCCCATCAACCTGGCAGGCAACATCCAAATTATTCCCATTCTCAGCCCAGAATGAAAACTCAAAGGCCACCAAGGAGTAAAACAAGGTCGCCAGCCTTGTCTCACCTCTGAGAACTCTACCTTTTTACCTGGTGTCTTTGGACATGGCTTTGAGCATCTTTGAATTAATTAATATGAGGAATTTGTAATGGATGGGAAAGGTCACAAAGCCATGTGCCTCACAGTGTTGTAGCAAAGTAAAGAAAAGCTGTTGGGATCATAAGCTTGTCTTACAAAGCCCATTGTAAGTTCTGCCTGGGAAGACTTGAAATAGCCATGGTTCCACCAACTGTATGTATCTTGCCCTCTACACACACACACACACACACACACACACACACACTCAGAGAGATAGAGGAGAGAGAGAACGAGAGCCTTTGCCTTAAATCTTGTTGGCTGGACCAAAAAGTAACTCTCTGCAAGGGAACACGCGATTCACACATATGCACATACCTAGACACTCACACATACACACACACATACACACACACAAGCACATACATACTCACACATATACTTGGCTTGTTTCTTTGACTTTTTCCTTTCTTTTTTAGATAAAATTTGCTATACAAAAATTTAAAAGCGCCAGGCATTGGTGGCCCACACCTTTAATCCCAGCACTTGGGAGGCAGAGGCAGAGGCAGGCGGATCTCTGTGAGTTCAAGGCCAGCCTGGTCTCCAGAGTGAGTGCCAGGATAGGCTCCAAAGCTACACAGAGAAACCCTGTCTCGAGAAAAAAAAAAAAGTTCAAGACCTGTTTGAACTGTACAGTGAGTTCAATACAAGCCTGAGCAACATTGTGAGACCTAGTCTCAAAACAGAAGTAAAGAGCCGGTGAGATGGCTAGATGCATAAAATGCTTGCCACCCAAGCCTGATGATGCAAACTTGAACCCAAGGACCAACATGGAAAAAAAAATCCCAGGAACATTTGGAAACTCCCTTCTTAATGAAATTCAAACCAGAGCCAGGGAATGCCTGAGACCTGTCCCCTGTAGTCACACCATTCATTTATTCATGCATTCATTCAACAAATTTTTAAGCATGGCAGCCAGCCTGGACAAGGTGGCACATGCCTGTAATGCCAACACTCAGGCAGAGGCAGGGGGGACTTCAAAAAGTTCAGAGCCTGCCTGGCCTTGAGGGGAGTTCCCTGTCTCACAAAAGTAGAAGTGAAGAATGTCGGCCTACTGGCAGAGACCTGTAATCCTGGCTGCTCAGGATGTGGAGGCAGGAGAACTCCGATGCCAAGGCCTTCCTGGGCTACAGAATGAATTCAGGGACAGCCTGTACAACTTAGGGAACCCTATCTCGAAATAAAATGTACCAAACAATCTGGAGATACATAGTGGTAGAGCACTTGCCTAGCATGCATAAGTCCCTGGATTCAATCTTCAGCACTGAGGGGGAAAAATTGTAAGTCCCAGCCCAGCCTTGGAGACACAGCAATAAACAAGAAGCTGACACTTGGGGGAGGGGGAGGGGCATCTTAAACTAGTGGGACAAGAGAGTGTGGGTTAATGAGAGAAAGTCCTTTTTTTTAAGATTTATTTTGGGGTGTGTGTGTTTTGTGTGTGTGTGTGTGTGTGAGAGAGAGAGAGAGAGAGAGAGAGAGAGAGAGAGAGAGAGAGAGGAAGGAGAGGGGGAGGGAGAGGAAGAGGTGAGGGAGAGAGGCAGAGGGCATCAGATACCCTGGAGCTGGAGTTACAGGCAGTTGTGAGACACTGGATTTCTGGAAACAGAACTCAGGTCCTCTGGAAGATCCACAAACACTCCTAACTGCCAGCCCATCTCTCTGGGTCACCAAGTTGCATTTGTGGGAGAAGCAATGATTATACTCCCTTATCCCGATATGACCATCCAATTTCGTTCCATTTCATTGAATTTCCCACTAGCAAAGATCAAATTTTCTGGTCTTGAGCTGGCCCTTGAGCACACTGGCCAACAGATGAAGTAGACTGTCTTCTTGCCCATGAATTTCTCATCTTCTAACCATATTCCTGTCTTTCACCTCCTACTCAATAAAGAACTGAAACCTTTATGCCCAGCAGTGTGTATTTATGAAACCTATATACCCAGTAGTGTATATTTAGCTAAACTATAGGGTGGTTGCTCCTATTTTTAGTTTCATGGGGCTTCTTGTTGTTGTTCCTATGGTTTTCTGAGGAACCTCCACATTGCTTTCCATAACAGCTGCATTAATTCCCCTTGCCACAATGATGTGCAATCACTCCACATCCTTGCCAGAACTTGTTACTATGCAGCTTCTGGAGAGCATGTACCTTCCTGGTAGGAGGTGATACCTTGCTGTGGTTTTCATTTGCATTCCCCTGATGATCAGTGATGCTGAGCATGCTAATTAGCTTGATATAATCATTCCACAATGTAAAGCCTACATTAAAACCTCAGATGGTACTCTATAAATATGCAGCTATTGCCAACTAAAAATTAAAATTCTTGGCTAGATGTGGGGGAACATGACTGCGATCCCTGGGCTAGTGGGGCGGAGATCATAAGTTTGAGGCTACCCTGCACTATACAGCGAGATCCTGTCTCAAAAACAAAATAAATAAGTACAGGTTCTTTTAGGTTCTTTTTATTATTTTTGTGTGTATTGGTATTTTGCCTGTGTATATGTCTGTGTACCACATGCATATCTGGTGCTCGAAGAGGCCAGGAGATGTCAGATTCCCTGGGTTTGGAGTTACAGACTGTTGTGAGCTACCATGTGGGTACCGGAAATCAAACTCAGGTCCTCAGGAGGTACAGCCAATGCTCTTAGCTGCTGAGCATCTCTCCAGCCCCATTAACAACTATTCCTAAAAATAACCTTGAACGTGTGTGTGTATTATATATGAATGTGCATGTACACACACACACACACACACACACACACACACACACACACACACACCTGCTATACAAAGCCAGTGAGGCATCACTGAAGGAGCTAAAGCACTTTCCTGGATGAGTTGAGAGCTCCGGGCTGTGGCAGTGTTATGAACTTGTCTGCTTTTGAATCACCATTTTATCCCTAAAATCTTACTCTAAATTTCACTCTTAAAGACACCCAGATTTATGCCTTCTTATCTTTTCCTCCTCCTTACCTTCAGAGAGGGAGACGCACCCTGAAAAGACAAGCTTCTATGAAGCTTCATCCAGTTCTCCAGAGCTCTGGGCCTCACACAAGCCACTGCTAAGCACTCTCTTCTCTTTGTTTCAGGTGGGAGAGGCTGTCTTGGAAAATGCTCGGCTTATGCTGCAGATGGAGACAATCCAAGCTGGTGCCGATGACTTTAAAGAGAGGTAACACTCTGCAGCAAGGGGTCCTCCCTCCCTGCTTACCCCAACTCCAGACCCTCACAGATAATGCTGCCCCAGAGTACACACAAGTCCCTTCTTTCACAATAGAAAGGTGGCCTGAGACAAGAGAAACTCCAGGAGAACCCAGAGCCACAGAAAATCAGGACTTAGGGGTTCAAAGACTATGCCCAGTATCACTTGCTTTAGAAAGGGTCTTTTTAAAGAAAAATTGTTTATTATTAGTGGTGTGTGTGTGTGTGTGTGTGTGTGTGTGTGTGTGTGTGTGTGTGTGTGTGTATACATTTACCATGGCACACATGTGGAAGTCAGAATACAACATGTGAGAGTTGCTTCTCTCCTACCAGGGATTGCACTCAGGTACTCAGGCTTGGCAGCAAGCCTCTTTGCATACTGAGACATCTTGCCAGCCCTTTTAAAATTTGGTTTGTTTCCTTTAGTTTGGGGGTTATTTTGTTGTTGTTGTTGTTATTTAAGATAAGGTCTCATGGAGTTAAGGTTGGCCTTGAAGTCACTATGTAGCCAAAGACAACCTTGAACAACTGATCCTTCTACCTCCAACTTCCAAGTGTGGTGACTCTAGGCATGGTCTGCCATGCTTGGTTTATTTTGAGATGGGATTTCACTCTACGGGCCAGAATAGCCCTGAACCCTCACTCTATATGCTTTGTAGGACTACCAAAGTAGTGAGTGACTTTGGGTATTCCCAAGGTCAAACTCACCTTTTTGTAGGACTATAGGTTTAAGCTTTTATACAAAGAAATAAGCAACTGTTAGAACAATGGACCATTGGCCTTGAGAGGGAATGAGTTCCCCAGCACCCAGAACATACAAGTAGAGGCTCCAACAAACTCAGCCGTCACAAATGTCTTCAAAGGATGTCCCTGGGAATTCTGAATATTAAAATCCATTACAGGGGCTGGAGAGATGGCTGAGAAGTTAAGAGCACTGGCTGCTCTTCCAGAGGTTCAAAGTTCAATTCCCAGCACCCACATAGTGGCTTACAACCGTTTATAATGAGATTTTGTGCCCTCTTCTGGCTTGCATGGATACATGCAGACAGAAAGCTGTACACATAATAAATAAATAAATCTCTTAAAAAATCCATTACAGAGATTGGTGCTGCAGCTCAGGAGACAGTGCTTGCTTGGCCTGCTCGATCCGCAGTGCCTTGCCCCACCACCACCACCACACACCACACACACACACACACACACACACACACACACACACCTTTAAGTGAAGACTTATAACTCTAAAACCTGAAGGCACTTCCTGGAACAGGGACGTGGATTTGCCCTCCTGTGGATGTATGGAGGCAAGATTGGAAATTCGGCTGAGTGGTACGACCACTGTATGAGGAAAGGGCACCAGGAAAAATCAGCAGGGATGTCAGGTAGTGACATCTGATGTCTGAGGGCTAAAACTCAGCATGGACAGTTTTGATACAAACATGTCACACACATATTCATTATTTTAGAAGCCGTTTGCTTTCTGTTGTTTGGTTGGTTGGTTGGTTGGTTAGTTGTATTTGTTTGTGATGTGGGTATTCAACTCAGGCCCCTTACAAGCAAGGAGAGTGTTCTACTACTGATCTGTCATTTAAATCTCTGGATAGATAAAGCTCTCTTCCCCTGAAGAGAGCTAGGCCAAGCCAGATGCACCTTGCTACACAATTGATATGGGCGGAGCTAGGCAGCAGTGCCCCCTGTAGGTTAAGTGAAGTATGGACTCTGATAGGAATAATCTGTGCCCATTCCTTGTCGTGGCTCCTCCTTTACACTACCTACTTGAGTTTGCAGCCACTGTCAAGAATTGCAGTATGTTGCTCATTTCTGGATCCCCAGCAGGTAAACGATGGTAAACGATCCTTGATAAGGAAGAGGACTGCTCAGTGTAGTGACAAAGATGTGATATTGCCTTTCAGTGCTAAGAAACTCCTGAGAGTGCCTGGCTCCAAAGGCTGCACGAAGCTGTGTTCCCAGAAGCTAATGTGTTCATGCTAATACTCCTGCAGCAGTAGCAGTAACAGTGTCCCCAAAGCTACTGGAACACTAGCTTTCAGCATTCTTTGCCTATCACATGGGGGCCTTTGGGTAGTGTCTACAATCTGGTTTGTTTCCCCTTTGGGGACTACCCAGCTATGCTGATTAAGTTCCTTTGTCTGCAGATATGAAAATGAGCAGCCGTTCCGGAAAGCCGCGGAAGAGGAAATAAGCTCCCTGTACAAAGTCATTGATGAAGCTAATTTGACAAAGACAGATCTGGAGCATCAAATAGAAAGCCTGAAAGAAGAAATGGGCTTTCTGAAAAGGAGCTATGAAGAGGTAGGTGGGGCTAGGGGTGCTAGGCTGCCTCCCCCCAAAGCAAGGTGCTCACCTGTGAGGTTGTAATCTCCTAACACAGGTGTTGGGGACTCTTCCCTTTGTTACTCACACAGGCCAACAGGGAAAATGTTAGTAAAGGACCTTGAAGTCTTTGTCATGGGTCAGATTACCCCCTGCAAAAGTCTCAAACTCAAAAGCCTTCAAGGACCAGGGTAGTATATAAGTGGAAGCGACTGTTAGGACTACTTGGAACTGGGGGAAGTCTCCCTAAAGTGTTGTATTTCAGATTTTTTTTCAATACTACATGAACAGGATACACTGTATAATTCTAAGACAGACCCACGCTGAAGTTACCATACACTCATTAGCAAAAGAAGGCTACATCTTTAAGTGTCAGGACCAGAGGACACCTCCAGCAGGGATGTGGTCTCATCACCTACAGGAAACATTAAGCCACCACACACACACATCACTCCCTGACTCATGGTACAGGGTGCTTCAAGCTGAGCATCACACCTCACTGAACCATGCTCACACTGGCAAGTCCCTCCAGTGTCCAGCCTGAAGCAGACAGTGACTATATAGACACTCCTTCGAGTTTCTGGTTCAGTTCCTGAAGACCACGCTCCAGCAGGAACCCCTTAGACTCCAGAGTTAGCTTCAATCTCCTTTAGTATATCCTGATTTTTGCCCAACTTCCACTTGTTGGAGTTACTTACTGTATGTTATTCTACTGTATAATTACTTTTGATTATGTGTTCATTTAGTTTTTTGCTTTGGGCATGGGAATGGGCTTGCAAAGATCTAAGAAATGTGTCCTTGGGAAAAGAAAATGATACCTACACCTAGAAGATCTTGGACTTTGCCAGTCTCTGTGATGCTCATCCATGGTGCAAAATAAACACACACATAGGTATGTAGGTAGATAAATAGATGAGAGAGAGAGAGAGAGAGAGAGAGAGAGAGAGAGAGAGAGGATAGATAGGAAAGATAGAATAGATACGTGGATAAACAGATGACAGATAAGATAGACAGAAAGATAGATTGGATAGATAGATGATATAGAAAATGATAGATAGACAGACAGACAGACAGAGATGCAGAGTAGCACCACAAGCCAGTGCTGCTGGCTAGAATTGTACATCTGTTCTTTCCCCCCTGGAGCTTACCTAAGGTGTCCACTGTTGCTTTCAGGATGTGAAGATTCTGTACAAACAGTTGGCAGGATCTGAGCTGGAGCAAACAGATGTTCCCATGGGCACTGGTCTGGATGATGTCCTTGAGACAATCCGAATTCAGTGGGAGAGAGATGTGGAAAAGAACCGAGCAGAAGCAGGAGCCTTGCTCCAAGCTAAGGTAAGGGACAGGACAGCATCTTTCCCCGGGGCCTGGAAAGAAGGAGGCCAAGCAAGATGGAGGCAGCCAGCATGTAGAAGAAAAGCAGCCATTTAGCAACAAGCTTGGTCCCTGCATAAAGAGGAGAAAGGCAAATGAAAGTAATAATGCTTGTTTGCCTCTCTGAAATAAGAAAATGTTTAAAATGACAATGTTTAATCCTGGCAAACGTGTAAAGGATTTTCTGCTGCACCATCAAAGATGTAAGGCATAAGTTGCTGTCCAATCTTTTACTAAGGGCTTTTATTTTCTGCTCCTACCTACCTACTAGCCACTACCTGCTACCCATTGGCTGAACAATCTGAACAGCATCCTTAAAAAAAAAAAATAGGAATACAAGAGGTAAGAATGCAGCTCAGTGAAAGAGTGAAGAGAGAGAAAGAAAAAAGAAGCAGGGGGAGATGGAGGGAGATGGGGGGAGTTTGTGTCTAAACATACTCCCTGAAGCATTCTAAGGGTTGAATAAAAAGGTGGTAAAAATATATAAATGTCTCACCATAAGAGAAAAACTATAGCTCCACTTGACTATGTTATGTGCAATGAAACCTGTTATTAGAAATGATACTTATGAAGTAATTGTAAAACCACAGGGAAAAGCCCATGGAAGGTAAAATGGAAGGAAAGCAATTACAGGATGGTATATACCAGGGAGTGACAAGAAGGTTGTTGTTGTTGTGTTTTGTTTTGCCTTGTTTAATTAAATAGTGAGTGCTTTAGACTTGGGAAGCCTGATGATTTCTGTGAGTTCCAGGACAGCCAAGGCTACACAGGGAAACCCTGTCTCAAAAAAAAAAAAAAAAAAAAAAAAAAAAAAAAAACACATACTGCACCCATTTCAGACCACTCACAACCAGCTGTAACTCCTGTTCCAGGGAACACAACATCCTCTTCTGATCTCTGATGCACTTGCATCCACAGGTACACACACACACACACACACACACACACACACGTGCACACATGCACACATACACATGGACACACAAATACTGAAGTAAGTCATGTTTTTAAAGTTCTTTGTACAGCTCTGACCTTCCATCAGCCTTGAGGACCATGACAGTCCTAAGAGCTGCCAAAGACAAAAGGAGGCCCCTTCACCACTTGCCTCTCCTTGACCCTCAATCCCCAATGACCAACAGGACCACTCCAGCAGGATCTTCACAAATTCTGCATCCCTCGAATGTTCACTTCTACCCCACCCCTATTTCTCCATTTCTACCTCCACCCTCTCTGTTGAGAGATATTACTACACAGAGTAACGAGAAGTCAAACCACGGCTCTGAGTCTGCCTCTTCTGAAAAGAGATTTGTGAATACTGTATGATCCTTGGGGACCATCTAAAAACATTCCCTCAAGTACTGAGTTGTATTGAAGAGATGAGGAAACTGAGACCCAGAGAGTTAAGTGAGTGCCCAAGGTCATTCTGCTGATTGCTGGCACCAGGCTCTACTCCGCTGGCTCCCAGTCCACGAGCAGCTTCCTCCTCTAACATCAACATGTTTATTCATTATTATTGTTATTATTATTGTTATTATTATTAATTATCCTTCCTTTTTTAAAGTTTTTAAAACAGGGTCTCATATATCATAAGCTGACCTCAAACCCCATATGTAGCCAATGGTGAGCTCTTCGTTATTTATTTGTTATTTATTTATGTGTATGCATGTGCACCTGTGTGTATGTGCACCGCATGCATGGTGCCAGAGAACACCAGAAGAGGGCATCAAAACCCCGGAAACTGGAATTACAGGCGGTTGTGAGCTACCACGTAGGTACTGGGAACCCACATGGTCTTCCACAACAGCAGGTCTTCTACAAGAGCAGTGAGTACCCTTAGCCACTGAGCCATCCCTCCAGGGCCAACCTTGAACTCTTGAAACTCCTGCTTCCGCCTCCTCAGTGCTAGGATGACAGGTGTTCACCACCACACCCACCTTGTCCATTTGCTTGTTGGAAATGCGGTCTCCCTGTGTAGCCCAGGCTGTACTTGACCTCCCCAGCCTCCTGTTTCAGCTTCCTGTGTGCTAAGATGAAAACTGTGCCACAAAAACATCAGACCACAGAATCAACTAAGCAGGGCTTCTACAGACTCACAGAACCTGAAGCAACAATCTCGGACCCGCTAGGTCCTCTGCCTGTATACCTTATGGTTGTTATGGTAGCTTGAATGTAATTGGCCCCATAAGCTTAAGAGAAATGGTGCTATTGGGAGGTGTGGTTTGTTGGAGTAGATACAGCCTTGTTGGAGAAAGTGTGTCACTGAGGAAACTGGCTTTGAGATCTCATATATGCTCAAGCCATATCCAGTATCTCAGACCACTTCCTGTTGCCTATGGGATCAAGATGAACTTCCTCTCCACTCTCAGCTCCTTTTATAGCACCATATCTGCTTGCAAACCACCATGTCTCACCATGATGATAATGGACTAAATCTCTGAAACCAATTAAATGTTTTCCTTTAGAAGAGTTGTTGTGGTCATGGTGTCTCTTCACAGCAATGGAAACCCTAACAAAGACAGTTGTGTAGCTGGACGGGAGCTGGGGGTGGGGGGTTGTCTCTGACTCTTTTGCCTAAGCTTGGGACCCTTTTCCTCCTACTAGATTGCCTCATCCATCCTTGATATGAGAGTTGGTGCCTAGTCTCACTATGACTTGTTATGCCTGTTTGTTTGATATCCCTGGAAGGACTCTTTTTTTGAAGGGAGGAGTGGATATGGAGGAAAGGAGGGGTGGGGAGGAGGACTGGGGAGAGTCAAGTGAAGGAAACTGCTGTCAACATGCAATGCAAGAGTGAGGAATAACAGAAAAAAGGATAGCGTTAGTTACCACTGAGATTATGCGAGATTGAAAAAAGATAACAGGTGTGCACCACCACACCTGGCTGGCTGTGTCTTTCCTAGCTCTGTTTCCAAAACTAAACCCCAGGAAACCCCAGCAGTTTGCAGCCTGACCTCCCCACTGATCACTGCCGGAGTGCACACCACACTGAATGACTGTCTCTTTTAAAATGGACGGGGTCATTATAGTTGTCAAAAAAATAAATCCTGCCTAGTGTGAAAATTAAAAAAAAAAACCACAAAACTGGCAATTACCATTCATCCCTCATCTGATAATCATCATCAGCTCAAACAGTAATTCCAAACAGATCCATTAGTGTTTTTAACAGAGCGATCTGAAAGCCACATCTCACAGAAGACACACAGGATTTGTTTTCATTTGGCCAGTGCTGCCTGGGCCTCTTGCAGAGATGCAGAACTCAGAAAATATTTGCAGAACGAGTGAATTCCTCTGATTGTCAACAAAGATCAGAACTGACAGCCAGAATTCCTGCAATAAATAGCTTTGTCGGCTGTGGCTGTGCCCTCGGGGGTTGACATTTGCCTGCCCTGAGCATCTCATGTCTGTTACTTGGCAGCAAAGCCAAGTGGGAATGGCTCAGTACTGCTTCCAAAGGCCTCCAGAAAGGGAAGAAAAACACGCATTTAATTACCTTTTGGCCCAAGGAGGCTGAAAATTAATTAACATGATTAATTTATGTCTTAGTTTATGCTTCCCTAGAAGCAGATCTAGAGATAAATATTGGAGTGGCGGTGATTTATTTGGAATTAGTGGGTGAGTCAGGGGTGGGAGAAGCATAAAGCAGAAGCAGAGAAGGGAACAACAAAGACTGTCTTTGAGAGCAGCTGAGATTGGAGCAGAAGCTCAGAGGGATGCTGAGAAATGGTGCAGCTTGCAGAAGGAAGGAGGCAAGGGAGCTGCAGCTATCTGCTAGCCAAGTGACCTGTCCAAAGCTTCAGGGCAAGCTCAGGCATAGATGCAGAGCTGGGCAGTGGGGAGCTGGGAACACAAAACTTGGAAGGCCTGAGGGTGAAGACAGGCCATGAGCATCTGAGGTAACTACAGGCCCAGCTCTTTCTGGTGTTTGTTGGTTGTTGGTGTGTGTGTGTGTGTGTGTCTGTGTCTGTGTGTGTCTGTGTCTGTGTGTCTGTGTGTGTACAGGCACACGCGTGTGTGTGTCTGTTGTGTGTGTACAGGAGTGTGTGTGTGTGTATTTGTCTGTTATGTGTGTACAGGAGTATGTGTGTGTGTGTGTCTCTGTGTGTGTGTACAGGTGTGTGTGTGTGTACAGGTGTGTGTGTACAGGTAAGTGTTCAGATGTGTGTGTGTATATACAGGAGTGTCTGTGTGTGTGTGTATACAGGAGTGTGTGTGTGTACAGGTATGTGTACATATATAAAGGAATATATGTGTGTGTGTGTACAGGTGTGTGTGTGTACAGGTATGTGTTCAGATGTCCTATATATATATAGGCACATGTGTGTGTGTGTGTGTGTGTGTGTGTATGTATGTATGTGTGTATGTGTTTTGCAGAGGACAAGCTCAACTACCTGAGGAATGCCATCTACCCTGCTGGGGGTATTTGGGGTTTTTTTGTTTGTTTGTTTTGGGGTTTTTGTTTGTTTGCTTGAGTCAGTGTCTCTCACTGCCCTGGAATGTACTAATTAGACTACACAGGCAGGCCAGCAAGCCCCAAGGGAGTCCACTCTTCCTCTGTCTCCCTAGCACTGGGATTACAAGTGTGCAGCACCTGGCTTTGTGGGTGTGTTTGTTTTTGACGTGGGTTCTGGGGATTGAAGCCCTCATGCTTTCAGGGCAAACACTTTACTGCTATCACCATAGCCCTCTTTCTGTGTTTGTAGTGGGGACTGGCCCTCTGAAACCAGGGTCCACATCAGGCATCTGCTTGCAGCAGTGCAGACATCCCTAGTACAGCCTCCTTTATTCAGTTCTAGAACAGTGCAATGAGTTGCAATGAGCAGAGGAGACTGCTTTTACAGAACAGGATTGGAGACAGCTCGAACAAAAGACAGAAGGATCAGTCACTTCAAGGTCACTTGACTTGCAAACTGAGGACAGGGAGACAGAACAAGAGAGCAACAACTGATTGGATAGGTCAAGGT